CTCAGAGTCTTTTTTTTTATTTTTTAAAGTATTTATTTATTTATTTGGCTGTGGTGGGTCTTAGTTGCGGCAGGCAGGATCTTCGTTACCACGTGCAGAATCATCTTTGCAGCGTGTGGGATCTTTAGTTACCCATGCAAACTCTTACTTGCGGCATGTTGGGACTAGTTCCCTGACCAGGGATTGAACCCTGGGCCCCCTGCATTGGGAGCGCAGTGTCTTAGCCACTGGAACACCAAGGAAGTCCCTCTCAGAATCTTTTTTAATGTCGGCAGGCTTCTAGTTATATCTCCATTTTCATTCTTTATATTTGTGTTCCTTGTTTTTTTCTCAATGTTTTTTCCTAGGCGTTGTCCATTTTATTAATCTTCCAAAGAATCAACTTTCTGGCTTTGATTTCTTCTATTATACACCTGCTTTCTACTTCATTGATTTCTTTATTAAATTTTTTTTCTTTCTACTTTTTTGAATTAATTTTCTGTTCTTTTTCTAGATTTTTATGATGGAAGCATAAATCATTTTTTTTCAACTTGTCTTATTTCAGATAATATACATTTAGAGGTGTGAATTTTGCTCCAGTTCAGTTTTATTCTACACATTTTAATGTGTTTATTTTTGTTTTTCAGATCAAAATATTTTCTAATTTCTGTTGTGATTTTGTGTATTTGACTCATGAGTTATTCAGAATTTTGTTTCTTAATTTCCAAACATTTAGGAGAATTTTTAGTTATCTTTCAGTAACTGATTTTTTAAAAAAATAAATTTATTTATTTTTGGTTGCATTGGGTCTTTGTTGCTGCACGCGGGCTTTCTCTAGTTGCGGAGAGCAGGGGCTACTCTTCGTTGTGGTGTGCAGGCTTCTCATTATGGTGGCTTCTCTTGTTGTGGAGCATGGGCTCTAGGCACGCAGGCTTCAGTAGTTGTGGCACACAAGCTCAGTAGTTGTGGCGTATGGGCTGTAGAGGGCAGGCTCAGTAGCTGTGGTGCACGGGCTTTAGTTGCTCCATGGCATGCGGGATCTTCCTGGACCAGGGCTCGAACCCGTGTCCCCTGCATTGGCAGGCGGATTCTTAACCACTGCACCACCAGGAAAGTCCCTTTCAGTAATTGATTTTTAGTGTAATGCTCTGGTGGTCACAAAACACTTCGTTCATGATTTAAATTTTTTGTATTTGTTGAGACCACTTCATGGTCTAGCATATGGTCTTTTTGTAAATGTTTTGTATGCACTTGTAAAGAATGTATATTCTGTAGTTGTTGGGTTTAATGTTTTAGCTCAGGTTGGAAAACTGGGTTGTTCAAATCTCCTATATACTTACATTTTTTTCTTTTTGGTTGCTTATTCTATCAGTTACAGAGAAACGTTTGTTAAAATCTACACCTGTAAGGTGGATATAGCTATTTTCCTTTTAGTTCTTTCAGATTTTGCCTTATATATTTTGAAGCTGTGTTATTTGTTGCATATGGATTTTATTATTATTTTACTCTGTTGATTTGACACTTTTATCATCATGAAATGTCCCCCTTTACCTATTTTTAATTAGAATTTTTAGTCCATTTACTTTTTTATTGAGATATAATTTACATGCCATAAAATTCATTCTTTTAAAGTATACGATTATGTGGTTGTTAGTATATTTTCAAACTTACACAAACACCACCACTATCTAATTCTTGAATGTTTCAGAAAGAAATCTCTTATTCATTGGTAGCAACTCTCCATTTGGTCCTCCATCAAGCCCCTGGTAACCACCAGTATACTTCCTGTCTCTGTGAATTTGATTATTCTAGATATTTTGTATATATGGAATCATACAATCTGTGGTCTTTTGTGTGTGACTTCTTTCATTAAGCATAATGCTTTTACTCTTCATCCATGTGGTAACATGGATTAGCACTTCGTTCTTTTTTTAATGGCCAAATATCATTTTATTGTATGAATCTGGTAAATTTTTTGGTTCATTTTTCAGTTGATGCTTGTTTCTACTTTTTGGCTATTATGAATACTATTGCTATGCATATTCATGTAAAAGTTCTTGGTGGACATATGCTTTTATTTCTCTTGGTTAAATACCTAGGAGTGGAATTGATGGCTCATACAGTTTTTCTATGTTTAACATCTTGAGAAACTGCCAAACTGTTTTCTGTAGTGACTGTGCCATTTAAATTCCTGCCAATAATGAATGAGGGTTACAGTTTCTACACATGCTTGCTAACTAGTCCAGTCGTCTTAAAAATTATTAATAATATCCTTGGACTGAAGTTTACCATCTTGATATTTATTTATTTGCCTTGTTTATTCTTTGTGCCTTTATTCTTCCTTTACTGCTTTCTTTGGGATTAATCAAGTATGTTTTATTTTTCAAAATTTTCTCCTCTATTAGCTTTTTAGTTGTATATTTATTATTCTTTTAGTGGTTACCATAGGGATAACATATATCTTTGGAATGTTGCATTCTTCTCTAGAATAGGATTTATTTCACTTCCCAACCAATAGAGGATTCCTAAACTGTTTGGCTGCATGTACCCCTCCTATCCTTTGTGCTTTTTTATGTCTATTATGAACCTCGTAGGACATTATTTTTGTGCTTACATCTGCTTTTACATCAATATTTACTTATGTTTCCCCACTTTTTGTGCTCATCATGCATTTCTGTAGATCTGGATCAGTTTCTTTTGGTTGGAAGAACTCTACTATTTCTTTTATTGAAAGTCTTCTGATAATAAATCCTTTCAGCTTTTGTTTGAAAATAAGTTATTTTATCTGATTTATTAGTGGATAGTTTTGTGAGGCAGAGGGTTCTATGTTGGTAGTATTTTCCCTTTTACTATGCTGAAGATTTATGCTATTATCGTTTCCATTGAAATGTCCTCACATTGTTATCATTGCTCCTTTGAAATCAATTTGTCTTTTATTTTCTGGCTGCTTTTAAGAATTTCTCTTAATAATTTTTTTATAGCAGTTTGAGTGTAATATAGGTGTTTATTTTTTAAAATCCTGCTTGAGATTTGTAAGATTCGTTTGATCTGTAGTTTGATGACTGTCATCAGTTTTGAAAATTTTCAGCCTTTATTTTTAAAACATTGCTTTTGTTTCTTTTTTAAATTCATGTGTCTTATCTCTGAGTTGTGAATTTTGACATATTTGAGGCCTTTTTTGCATATTTTATGCTGTTTTATGTATTTCTGTCACTTTTTTCTTAATGTGCTTCCATGTGGATATTTTATACTGAACTGTCTTCCAGTTCACTAATCCTCTCTTTAGTCATGTTCATTGTTCTATTAAACTGATCTAATGAGTTCTTAATTTCAGATATGGTATTTTTCAGTTTTAGGATGAACATTTTCTTGTTTGCCATAGATTCCAATTTTTTGTTGAAATTCTTCATCTTTTCATCTATTTCTTTCATTTTATTGAACATTAATGATAAATGTTTTTAGCAACTTCATAAAAATGTAGCTGAATTTTTCTTATCAAGTTGTATATTACTCTTCTCCCTCTGCTTTGTCCTAGGCAAGTAATTGTTTGTAATTCATCTCATCTTGGAGATTCTTGTTTTATGTTAGAGTTTAGGCTAGTTGGTTGCCTGGAGACCTCAGTTTTCTGATAGATCCAAAAGAAGTCATGATTTCATAGATTATCTGCTTCTTCCTCTTGTTAGGCTGGGAGTGATGCTCTTCACAGCTTTCTGCATTGTAAGCAAAATCCAGAAATCCATGATAGCAATTTTAAAGTCCTTTTCTGAAAATTCTAAAATCTGAATGAAATGTGAGTCTTTTTCTGTTTTGACAATTTATTCCCAATGTTTATTCATTTGTTCCTGTTTATTATTATTATTATTAATTTTTGGGGCATTCCTTGTCATGTTTATTGGATGCCACACAAGGTGGATGAGAAATTTGCAGAGGGTCTATAGGATGTTATTTTCCTCTGAGGACAGTTAATTTTTCTTCTGGCAGTTCTGATCATGTCAGGCCTTGATTTTAAACTCGGTTAGAGCTTGTTTATTGCTATTTTGACCGTACTCCCAAGGCATGACTGTTCTGGAGTCTCAGTTGAGAGCCCAGCGTTTTTCTTTTCAGTACTCCTCTATCTTGGCAGTGCTTGCCTGCCAATCTCCATCTCCTCAGCATGGCTGGGCTGTTGAAATATCTGCTTGGCTTTTTGTTGCCCATCAGCTGTTTTTTGATACGTTTTTTGGCATCTTGTCCTATATACTTATGTAAGCTTAGGAATCAGTTAACAATTTGAGGGGAATTTTCATGTAGATTTTTAGGCTCCTTCTATATATATCTTTTGGGGGACATTTTTCACTCTGGAGCCTCCTCTGCTTTTGGCAACTCCAGGCTCTGCCTTCTCAGCCCAGTTAAGGTACAGCAGTGTGCTTGGGCTCTATTTGCCATCATTGGTCTAGAAAATCTCTTATACCAAAGAATGATTAAATGTGGAATTTGCTTCATGGGCTCCCCTGCTCTCCAAGGATGTAGCCCCAGAAATCCTACCTGTCAAGCTTTCTTTCCTGTGCTTTCAGGCAAGTCGTTTTATATGTTTTTTTTCAGCATTCATAGTTGTTCTTGAGAATGCTAGTGCAATACACTATGTTCCATAAATTGGAACCAGAAGTGCCATATCTCTTTTCTCATTTTGCATGTTCACTAATGCTTAGCAGAGTTCTATAAATATTGATGGCTTTTGCAAATCTTTTCAAGGTTCCAACTGTGTTGAACAGATAAAATCAGTCCTTATATAATAATTACTATAGAATAAAGGATAACTAGTTATAAACCTTAGTTTTATCTCCTGGAATAAAAGCAGGTATTGGTTCATCAGGAAAGAGCTCTGAAAGCAGAGCAGAAATGGAGAGCCAATACTAGCCACTAAAACTCTTTTAACTGAACTTCACATCTGGTATGATTATCTGTTCTTTGAATTGTGGTCATTGGAAAGCTGTCCTAGAAACAGGAACTCTTCTCACAGTCTTTCATGTTTTGATCTCTAGGAAGATGAAGTCCTCAGGACATTCTGAAGAGGATGATTTTGTTCCAGAACTACACAGAAACGTTCACCCTCGAGAGCGGCCTGATTGGGAAGAAACACTTAGTGCAATGGTAAATCAGTTTTATGCATATGTATGTATGTTTATTTTACTTACATAAAGAAAAGGAACTGAGGAAGCATTACTCACATAAAAAAATTTTTGTTGTTTGTTGCTTTGCTCATTTGTTCAGGAAATATCTGTTGAGAGAATTATCTATTCAAGGCACTGTTTTAGACTCTCTGGGCAGAGCTGTGAATAAAACACACACATTTCCTGCCTTTGTAGCTTATATTTTAATGAGGTAGGAAGAGAAGCAAATAATTAAATATATAATATGTCATGTGGTGGTATGTGCCATTGTAGAAAATTAATGCAGAGTGGTGGGGTTACAGAGTGGGAGAAGAGAGTGTGAAAGAATAGTTGCTAGTTATATAGGATGGACACAGATGGCCTCTGGGAGAAGTTGAGATTTGAGCAGACACCAGAGGGATGTGAGGGAGTGTGTTTATCTGGGAACAGATCATTTTAGGCAGTGGAAGAACAAGTTAAAGGCTGTAGCATAGAAATAAAAAGCAAGTTGGAAAAAAAACACAAGTAGGACATGTGGCTGAAACTGAGCTGGGAAAAGTAGAGGAGATGAGGTCAGAGAAGTGGTTTGTTGTACTCCATTATAAGGACTTTGGTTTTTTATGCTGAGTGAGCTGGGAAACCATTGGAGGATTTTTAGCCAAGAAGTGACATGATCTGGCTTAAAATTTTAAAGGAAGTCTCTGGTCTCTGTGAATAGGCTAAAGAGGGAGGCAAAAAGAGGAAATAAGGAGACCAGTTAGAAGGTTACTGTATTAGATGGACAGTGATGGTAGCTTGAACCAGGATGGTAGATGGGGAAAATGGTTCGATTCTGGATGTAGTTTTACAGATAAAGCCAAGCATTTTTACTCATGAATGGGACAGAGAGAGTAAGATAGAGATGTCAAGGATGAGTTCAAGTTCTTTGGCTGATCAGCCTGAAGAATGGAGTTTATGTTCACTGAGATACTGGAAAAGCAGTTCCTGTTTGTTGGGAGTTAGGTGGGAAAATCCTGTGCAGTGTAGTTTTTCCACATAAGTTTGAGATAGTCATTTAATCTATTATAACTTCTATAACTTTTTGTAATTCAGATCTGTTAATGAGAACAATTAAATTTGTTTTGCAGAGAATAACATTTTACTTAATTGGAGTTAAAAGTTAGTGATTCCTGTCAAAATTGGATGCAAATGTTCATTTGTCAATGCAGGTTTGTAATGAGATTTTACATATTTCAGTTTTGAAAATGGCTTTTCCCTCAGGTACTGCCAAATATATCAATTTATGAGCATATGATTTTAATTGAGCATATTTGTTGCTTAGAAGGTGTTTATGGAATTCTGTTTCTTCTCTTGATATTTTCCTTTTAGCATAACATTACATTGCAAATTTCTATGCTGAGGAGATGTGAAATAGTCTCATCAAAGACAAACATGCCCCACACCCCTATTGAATCAAGTAATCCCTGGAGGTGCCAGCATGCCACTGAAAGGATATTCAGTAAATTCTTTTGCTTATTTAGAAATCTTTCACAGTTTTCCCATGTATTTTGATAACCTGCAATAAGTCTACATTGAATTTATCAATGGGAAGAAAGGTGGTATTTGTTATGTGGTGGTTTGTTTACTCTGTATTAAAATGTCATATGACGCGTAACATAGAAAGTTACTGAATTCTGTTTTCTGGAGTTCACATTGATTTGTTTATGGAAATTACCATTTGTATCATATGTTCTTAGCATCTTTTATTATTATATTGGTACTCTAATTTCTTTATTTGTAAACTTTTTAAAAAATTAATTTAATTTAATTTTATTTTTGGCTGTGTTGGGTCTTTGCTGCTGCACGCAGGCTTTTCTCTAGTTGTGGCGAGCGGGGGCTACTCTTCGTTGCGGTGCGTGGGCTTCTCATTGCAGTGGCTTCTCTTGTTGTAGAACACGGGCTCTAGGTGCGTGGGCTTCAGTAGTTGTGGCACGTGGGCTCAGTAGTTGTGGCTCACAGGCTCTAGAGTGCAGGCTCAGTAGTTGTGGCGCACGGGCTTAGTTGCTCCACGGCATGTGGAATCTTTCCGGACCAGGGCTCGAACCCGTGTCCCCTGCATTGGCAGGCAGATTCTTAGCCACTGAGCCACCAGGGAAGCCCTATGTGTAAACTTCTTGAAGGCAAGCACTATGGTTCTGTTTTTTGAAAAAATCATTACACTCAATAAATAGTACATTGCAAGGTTGCAAAAAGTGTACAGCGAATGATGAAAAGGATATAAATGAGATTAGAGCTGCTGTTTTACTACACTTTCTCTAGAAAATTATACTGATTTTAATGAGGAAGTAAGAGTAAAGAAAGTTTGGGACCTTTTTCTCTTTCAATAATAATATGTGTGAAATATTACGTTGAGAATGAAGTTTATTAAGAGAAACCCTTATAAAATGTTTTTCCAAAACAATTCCATTTATTTAATTTTTTAATAGTTTTCGAAATAAAAGGGCTTAAGTGTTGAACTTTTATCGATTTGTGTGGTGTGGCCAGAATACTAGTTTTTTTTTTTTTTTTTTTTTTTTTGCGGTACGTGGGCCTCTCACTGCTGTGGCCTCTCCCGTTGCGGAGCACAGGCTCTGGATGCGCAGGCTCAGCGGCCATGGCTCACGGGCCCAGCCGCTCCGTGGCATGTTTGATCTTCCCGGATTGGCACACGAACCCGTGTCCCCTGCATCAGCAGACGGACTCTCAACCACTGCGCCACCAGGGAAGCCAAAATATTAGTTTTTTAATACATATCTAAAAGAATGTCAGAAATTTCTGAATTGTTAAGAATTTTAAAAAGTTTGTAAACAGTCATTTTTAAATTGAGATATAATTGATATGTAACATTATATTAGTTTCAGATGTACAATATAATGTTTCAGTATATGTGTATATTGTGAAATGTTCACCACAATAAGTCTAGGTAACATCCATTACCACACATAGCTGCAGATTTTTTTTCTTGTGAAGAGAATTTCTAAAATTTACTCACTTAGCAACTTACAAATATACAACTCTGTAAATATTGTATATTTACTATAGTAACCATGCTGTACTTTATGTCCCAGGACTTACTTATTTTATAGCTGGAAGTTTGTACTTTTTGACCACCTGAACCCATTTCGCTCACCCACCTTTGGCAACCACCAGTCTGTTCTCTGTATCTTTGAGTTGAATTTAATTAATTAATTAATTATATATTTTTAAAGCTTCCACATATAAGTGAGATCATATGGTATTAGTCTTTCTGTTTTTCACTTATTTCACTTAGCATAGTGCCCTCAAGGTCCATTTATATTGTAACAAATAGCAAGATGTCTTTCTTTCTTATGGCTGAATAATATTCCTTTGTGTATATATACCACATTTTCTTTATCCATTCATCAATCAATGAATACTTAGGTTGCTTTCATTTTTTGGCCAGTGTAAATAATGCTGCAATTAACAGTCGAATTCGTGTGTTCATTTTCTTCAGATAAATACCCAGAAATGGAATTGCTGGATCATATGGTAGCTCTGATTTTCATTTTTTTGAGGAACCTCCATAATGTTTTCTGTAGTGGCTGCACCATTTATATTTACACTACCAGTGCACAAGGGTACTATTTCTCTTTTCTCCACACCCTTGCTGTTACTTATTTTTTATCTTTTTGATAATAACTATTCTAACAGGTATGAAGTGATAACCCATTGTGGGTTTGTTTTGCATTTCCATGATGATTAGTGTTATTGAGCACCCTTTCATGTACATGTTAGCCATTTGTATGTCTTCTCTGGAAAAATGTCTATTCAGAGCCTCTGCTCAGTTTTTTAATCGGATTTTTTTTCTTTTTGCTATTGAGTTGTGAGTTCTTTTATATTTTGAATATTAATCCCTTACTAGATATATGATTTGCAAAAATTTTCTCCCATTCTTTCCCTTTCTTCCCATGAAAGGTTACCTTTTCATTTGGTTGATGGTTTCCTTTGCTGTGTAGAACTTTTCAGTTTGATACAGTGTCACCTGTCTGTTTTATGCTTTAGTTGCTTTTGCTTTTATTGTCAAATGCAAAAAGTCATCTCCAGGACTGATGTCAAGGAGCTTAACTACCTATGTATTTTCCTAGGAGTTTAATGGCTTCACGTTATTATGTTCAAGTCTTTAATCCTTTTTGAGTTAGTTTTTGTGTGTGGTGTAAGATAGTGGTTCAGTTTTGTTCTTTTGCATGTGGCTGTCCAGTTTTCCCAACACCATTTATGAAGAGACTGTCCTTTTCCCATTGTATATTCTTGGCTTCTTTGTCATAAATTTATTGACAGTATAGAAGTGGACTGATTTTTGGGCTGTCTGTTTGTTTCCATTCATCTATGTGTCTGTTTTTAATGCCAGTATCATACTGTTTGGACTACTATAGCTTTGTAATATAGTTTGAATGCAGGAAGCATTATGCTTCCAGCTTTGTTCTTCTTTCTCAAGATTACTTTGACTATTCCATGTCTTTTATGGTTCCATATAAATTTTAGAATTGTTTCATTTCTGTGAAAAATGCCATTGGAATGTTGGTTTTGCATTGAATTCAGTTGAATTGAATCTGCAGATTGCTTTGGGTTAAATGAGCATTTTAACAGTATTAATTCTTCCAATCCATGGGTATGGAACATCCTTCTATTTGTATCTTTTTTACATTCTTTCATCAGTGTCTTATAGTTTTCAATGTTCAGGTCTTTCACTTCGTTCGTTAAGTCAATTTCTGGGTATTTTATTCTTTTTATTCAGTTTTTGAATCTCAATTGTAAATGAGATTGTTTTCTTAATTTCTTTTTCTGATAGTTCAGTTCACTATTTGTTTACAGAAATGGAACTAATTTTTGTATAATGATTTTGTATTCTGAAGCTTTACCAAATTTATTAGTTCTCACAGTTATTTTTTTGGTGGAGTTCTTAGGGTTTTCTTTATATAATATCATGTCATCTGTAAATAGTGATAGTAACACTATCACTTT